ACATACGTCAACAAGTGCCCTCAGTTTCTCGGGTGTCAACACGACAACAACATCAAGAGAACGGCGGCCCTCGTCAACGACCAGCATTTCCCGGCGGAGTGGAAGCGTGTCGTCCTTTCGGTGATCACTGGAGATTGCGCCAAAGGCAAAAAAAACCCTCGGGGCGTTGATGAATGCATCAACATTATGTGGACAAGGACAAGCGCCTTGACGACGCTGGCCCAGTTTAACGTCGACCCATTGAGTGCCAGATATCATAAGGAGGCGCTGGGAAAACTAGGGCATCAGCTACGCTCCCACACTTGCGTGCTCGACTTATGTGGTACTGTGGACCGTGCGCAATGGGACTCTGGGGCATTCGCGTCTCTGAGTGAGTTGCTGGGCTTCGTTTGTCAGGACTACTAGACATTGGTGGTATTCGTCCCCTACCTGTGGAACCTCTCCTTCATGACATGTTTGTCTGCGCTTGGGGCTACCCGATGCTACACGGGGAAGTGGGTTCGGAAGACGGCATCGAAGAAGACGCATCAGTTCGGAAACAGCGTCTGGGAGGAGCCGGATGTGATGCACATCCTTTTCAAAGGCGAGGATCCTCGGCTACTGACTCACCTGGTGTACGAGGGAGCTGTTGCTGAAGACGACGACGACGCTCTCCAGAGGAAACATAAAGTGACACCCACGGATGTGGAGGAGAAGTCTTTCAAGTCCTTGACTTTCGCGGACATCGGAAACCTGACCCAAAGGGGGGCTCCGTACAAGGATGGCGAGCGGACTCCGAATTAGTTGTGCAATAAGCTTCTTTTCTTCTGTGGTGTGGCGGATGTCGTGCTGTTCTTGGGCAACCCGCACGCGCAGGTGGTGTGGAGTCTGCTTCAGCAGGGAAGGCACGTCTTGGCCGTGGATGGGGACACAACGCAACTTGAATACACCGTGCAGTATGTCACCCATGAAGTGTCGTCCAAGGCTTACCCATGCGATTTCCACTATGTCGTGGTCGAGCCCGTTTATGACCTGAACATGGACATGTTCTTCAAGTTGACTCCGAAGAAAAGGCGCCAGGTCTACTCCTTCCTTTACGGGGAATAACCAAGATTGAGATTTGACCCGCAGTATGTGGTGCGGAAGGAAGTCGCCAATGCGGTCCTCCAGGGCTACCACGGAGCGAGTCGGGCCGGCGCTGTGAGCTTCATTAAGAGGCTGGAATATGTCTTTTTTAACGAGGATGTTGTCGATCCGGCCGACTTCACTTTGGATAAGTACAAGCTGGCATTCGGTGAGGAGGACGACTTCAATATCGAGACTGAGCAGGAGGAGAGCGTTGAGGACGACCTCTTCGATTTGGACGGGCAATTGGCCATCTTCAATGCCCAAGTTCCTGAGTCGACATCAGTATGCAAACCGGGGACACCTCTCGCTACACCTACCTCGGGCGGTCCCACGCCCGTGTCCTCCTCAGCGCCTGTCAAGAGGGGTGGGTTGTCCCATCTGAGGAGTTCGCCGGGGGAGCCTATTCGTCTCACGCCGAAGCCCGAACGTCTTCGACCCGGCCATCCAGTTCGTCCGTACCATCCGCATCTCAAGGCTCCTGCGACTCCCTTCCACATGGGCGACAAACACACCTTCTCCACAGCCGAAGATTGGGGCCATGATATCGTGTGGCACCTAGACCATTTACAGCCAGTCCTTCTCAACGGCGAATGGGCAGTGGCTGTGAGGGACGTAAGTGGAGGGTGGATATATGACGATCGTTGGGACCTCGAGACATTCGAATCTTGCGCCTACGATGCGGTATTGGAGAGATTAAGTGAGGTCAATCGACGAAGTAGGGATGACACTGCTCTTCGCGAATACGGGGACACGCTGTTCTAGTTATTGCAGTCAAATAAATGGCTGGAAGTGTCCTCCACGTTCTAAGCCCTTCCGTCAAGCTCGTCAATTAAGCAAGTGAGTTGGGAGTTGCCTGAGGTCACCCCGCCGGCAGAAGTTGTGAAGCGCAAGTCTCGCGGAAAGGACGGCGACGGGGATGGTGAAGGCGGCGGGCAACGAGGTACCGGAGGTGGAAGTGAACAACGTTCGACCAAACAGCGGTCTCCGGGGCACGCAGGCGGCGGAGAGGGGAAGAAGGGAAGCTGGGAGAAGAAAAAGCCTCGCAGCGGAGAGAAGACGAAGCATCACAGAGGAGACGGGGAGGGGTCCGATGTTGACCGCGACGAGGACGGTGGGGTTCTGGCGGTAACAGACAACACCTCAATGGAGACGGGGAACGACTTGAGGCCTGGGTGTATTACGCGGCCGGCGAGCAGGACCCTGTGATTAGCTCCACCAGCGAAACACAGTTTGTCAATGCGGTTGGCGGGGCGGGTGCCGCAAAGCATGGAACATGCTTCGCTCAGCTCCAAAAACGGTCGGCGGATTGTCTCGGATCAATCCGAACCTCGGAGACGTCGTCGTTGTGCGGAACTCAGTGCCTTCCGGGAAGCGAGACGACAATATACCACGGGTCCGGCAGCGACAAGCTGGAACCATGTTCCGTTTCGCCTCAAAAGGAAGTTCGGATCAATCTGAACCGCGAAGGCCGTGCAATTGAGGGAGCACAACTGTCTACAGAACTCGAACGGGTGGTCCGTGTTTTCGAAAACCCTGGCGACAAAATTCCGATTCATCCGAACCAGGAAGTCGTGTCTGCCATGATAGACGATCGGTGTCAGGATGCAGTAATACTGTGCGTGGAAGCCCACAAGGAGCTGCAGGCGGACTATCCGACTGAGGTGAGTTGGCGACCAGTTCCAATGTCGAGCCCAACACACTCGGAGCCGAGTTAGTAGTCGTAAGCGACTCCCCGGTGAAAGCGGTCATGTCGGCGTCATTGGAAACTGCGGGGGCTCGGATGAATCCGAACCAGGGCCCTGTGAACATGTCCCTCCCTAATCCATCTTTGGAGACGACCGTGATTCGGATTCATCCGAGGCACACGGACGAAGGACTTCAACTGGCAGACGTTGAGGGTTGTCGACTACTGACGACTTTGGACAAGGACAATTCCGCCGACGACCGGATTGATCCGACACTCAGCGACGTCGGGATGGAGCTACCAGTTCAGCCGGGATACGACGATCCCTTGTACTCCACCCTTCACAACGAGGAGATGGGGGAGGACGTTCTGAAGAAGGCCTCTGACGCTGTTGGAGATAGATTTCTCTATTTGAGTGACGACGACGAAGACACAGCGTACGGGGACAAGAAGTTAAGGGGGGGAGAGGTGTTCTTGGACATCCATGGGACATTGAGCCCTACACAATACAACACAGTGGCAATGGAGAAAACACAACCTGTCGATGTTGTGGACGTCGACGCTCTTTGTTCGGAGACGAATATACCGTCTACGGTCATCGACGCCGACATCTCGAGCCTATCAAGTTTCCCTGTGGGTTTGGAGCACGTCGTCGCCGCGTCGACGCGCGCAGGGGTGCCAATCGTGTTGGGACTGTCGTCGGTGGGCTCTAGTGAAGTGGTAGCTAGGTCTGGTAAGCACTGACTTTCTCTGCTTTCTTCCCGCTCGTCAGCCCGTTCGTGACGTGTTGTTTGCTTCGTCGATTTCGGGGAGGTGTATAGGCGGCCGCCAACTTGATTGTGACGATGTGCTTCATGAGGTGTTGTTTGCTTGGTTGCTCTTGTGAACTTGTGTTGTTGATCTCCTGCTGAACTCTCTGGGTGGCTATTTCTTGTACAGGTCGACGAACTCGTGGACAAACACCCATGTCGCGGGAGTCGCCTGCCCTCGCCAGGTTGTCAATCCTGGTTGTGGGAGGCACTGGTCGTCGCAATGTCCTTGATGCGTTTCCTGGGGACACTAAGCCTCGAGGCCCTCCCAGAAGGGTAGTCGTGCCTGTATTGGGCTCCCGCGCAAGACTCGTTGCAGAGGCAGCGGGTGTTGCCGAAAAAGACTGCAAGGAATTCCTTCTCGAGGCTTGCAAGGATATAAAGGACAGTGCTAGTTTAAAATCAACTGTGTGTAGAAGGTCCAGAAGCAAGGGTGACGTTATGCGTGAACTTTTCGGACCACAGAGTAGCGGTTCCTCGGACCATGACCGCTAGGACGGCATTTTCTCATAGTGCCCCGTCCTTTGTGCTTGCTGTGTGCTGCGGGTGTTTGTTGAACAGGGTTTCCTCGAGATGGAAGAGCGGTCCTTGAAGACGTTATCTGCTCCCGGTTGCCGCTCACTATCATCGTCGCGCGTTTGCCGTCGCATAGTTTACATGTATCCGTCAAGGACATCGTCGCACTCGTGGATAGATCCGGGGACGATGAGGTTGTCAATTTCTACATGGCGATGCTACTGGACGACTGCGGCCGGACTGCCGCTACCATGAAGACATACACCTTTAACTCCTTCTTCGCCTCTTCACTGCTTCTGCGAGGTCCGGCAGCTGTTCTCAGATGGGCTAAAGATGTCGACCTCCTGTCTCATGACCTCATCTTGGCAACAATGCACAAAGACGACGAACACTGGAGCCGTTGGCCATTGACTTCT